TTGGATACATTATTCGATAAATTTGAATGTATGTTTCAATTCATACTCATTATTGTTGCGTACACAATGATTTTCTAAGTATTAATAAATTAAATATTAGGCTTGATAGCCTTGTCCATCCTGGCTTGGAGATGATTAGAAAATTATTGACAATTCTGTTTGATCACAACTTAACAAGTTGCAAAATATTCCCCATATCATTAGATTATATGTGCACCACATGTGCCATAGGGCAGATCTGTTTTAAGGAACTCTCACCTTAAAATTCTAAATGAGCCACTTATTCTCTCTTGAGCACATTCAAAAGATAAATGTGGAATGTTGAACCATTATCTGGGGTAATTTACATACTTCATGGTACTCATATACACATTCATACAATGTTTTATGTGTGTCTCTTATCACACACAATCATGATCTTACCTAATAAATTGCTTAACTTATCAAAGTAGGAGCAAATTCTCCTGAACAAATGATAAACCCATTCGAATGGACAAGTCGTTGAACTCATTTCATGAGCCTTTTTATGATTGCATTCGGTACCCTATGTACATACCCGAAATGGTTTAACTTAATTTCTTATCAAAGATAGTCAAATGAATTACATGACCACTTTTAAAGAATTGTAAATTTACCAGCCTCTTGTTGGACACATACAACCTTACACATCATAAGTATAATCTAAATCATACCAACTGCATATCATACTACTTTCCCCTTGTAGTAACTACGTGAAAATCAACAAAGTATTTCCATCTGCGATAATTCGGTTATGTACCGATATCACCACTCCAGCGTACATCAATGGGCCCTCACAGAAAATCAGGGATCTATGTGAGGAATAACAATTTATCCGTCAATCAAAATTATTCATAGCCCGTATGCTGATTGCATCAGCAATAAGGATATTTTCCGGCATTAGGGGGAGATAAGTGCCACAAAGAATGCCGAGAAATAAATTATAAATGTTATTGAAATTCAATCCTTATATCCACGTACTCAAAGAATCTGAACTATAAGTTTAGAGAATCATATATATATGCAACACATTACAAATTTGCCACATACATTTACTGATGACAAGGTGTCACTAAATTCTATATTCCTGCAGTAAAGTGTCAGAAAGAGTGGAGGTACCTGATAAACCACTCTTCTCCCCAAATGAGAGAAAGAGGGGGAGAAAGTCTGACAACACGAGATATAACTTCTCATATGCTTCCGCGGAAATAGAGGAAATCAATTCCTCAACCAGTAAATGTAATTCAACATCAAGTTGAAAGACACCTCACTGGATGCTCATCATCCAAAGCCCGGCATAAATGTGCACAAATGTTTTGGTGTCGGGACATCGAAACACCTTGCCTCCATTTGTTGTAGGAAATCACAAGGAGTTAAAAAGGAATAAATATATTATCCACAAACTTCAATGATTCCATCAGAATCATATAAACTAAAAACTACATTTGTCGACATATATTTCTTCTCAAATTGCTAAACCTTTTGGGCCCGAACCAAAATCCATGGTAGAGTGCCTCTTGCACTCATATTGGTTCAAATAAAAGGAAGTAAGTAATGAAGAATAGCACTCGCTCTACAAATGAGTAGTATTTACCACAGTAATACCTACTCCTCATAAGTATCTTCCATATGGAATACTAAAAACTTCTCATTCATAGATAAAGTCAATGAGGTGGTGAGAAAGCGAGGCTTGTAGCAAAAGGGTTCATGTAGAGACCCGACATCGATTATGATGTAACATACCCTCTTGGTATGAGTGGAATTATGTTTCGATACTAAATATCATTGGCAATAAAAATAACAACAATATCCATGCAGTTGATGGATGAAGTGGCTACATACTCATATGAGTCTCTCATTTCGGAAATCTCTATTCAAGTCCCTGAAGGGCTTATACTTCCAATCCAAAAGAAAATCGCAACAATTTTTGTGTAAAACTTCATAAGTTACTCTATGACTTGAAATAGTCAGAAATCATATGGTACTACCGACTAAATGAGTTCCTTCTTCAAAAGGATTACTAGAATAATGATGATTATTTACATGTTTAATAAAGGAATCTCAAATTTGATTTCCTTTTATCACCTTAGTGTATATTGATGACCTCATCATCAATGTCTATACAAGACCTAAACATACACATAATCATCTCAAGACGGGAAATTTGAATTCAACCAAATTTAGCTTAAGCTTACAACTTGAGCACTCTCTCAAGAATACATATCAGTCTACATATATCCAAGACATATATGAGAAGTTCAATGTGGATATATCAAACCAATAAAAGACATGTAATATGGTCATAGTACCCCTGATAGGGTACAAATCCATTCATACCTAGGGGTGATAATGAAGTGATATCAGGACCTGAAGTTCTATCTCACTAATGTCAAAGCACTCATATAATTGCAAAACTATGTCTGGCCTGACACTAAATTTGCTATCTTTGTTCAGAGTACAACCCACAACAAAAGGTATATGGCCGATATAAGAAATATTAGCTTATATCTCAAGCTCACAATAAAGCTTGGATGTTTCCATCATGAAATACAAGATATGACCATGATATGATATAATGATATTGGCTCTTTCTTTGATCCTAACAATGCCATATCAATGACTGAATTTGCGGGAATAGCCTTCATATGGAAGTCATCTAAATGAGCATTAATGGCTATTTCTAGTTATCATTTTGGCATAATTGCTTTATCTAAAAGCATTGCAAAATATGCATGGCTTAGCAGAATGATTAACCACATTCAAAATCATGTGGTTGAGATTCATCAGAATCACATAACTTGATTTATCAAGACACTACCACTTGTGTTACTTAATACCTAAAGGTTATATGAAGAGGAATATCATAAAGCACATTGCTCGAAAATTACTTATCCTCACAAATTATAGAAAGTGAGGAAACAATATGCAAACAACATACTTTGAAAATCCTATAGATTATTAATAATGCCATGATCATATCAATTTTCTAGTCTCCTGACGCATTGGGCAGATGGTGTCTGCTACAGATCGATAGGGGTATTTCTCGTCCAAAATATAACGCCAGCACATGCATTGGTATGTGGGCTTCTCTCTATGCGCATTACATTTAGGAATGGAGGGAGTAATATATAGCCAACTTATTATCTGAGTGGGCTTTTCTGAAGACTATAGGTGACATGGCATCTCTTTGTAGCCGGCAGCCGGCTACACTATTAACCATGCTCTCAGTGTGTAGCTGGATCTTAACAGTCTTCGGCCTGAAATCAATTGTCTAACACAAAAAGCAAGATGACATTTGCTCAAATAAATGACAATCGACTAGAAAACTGCAAATATTGTGCAAATGGAGGAGCTATTATTTCAGTGGACAGTGATATTAAAACGACATTATGAATGATGCTCACCCATGAACACATATGCTAAGGACATAACGACGTCATCCTCGCAGATGATGAGATTTTCCAAACCAGTGCTAGAGTTTCTGAAGGGAATCCTCCCTGACTGCACTAAGAGGCAAACATCTAACCTTCTCGCAAGCACCAGTCATCTGACGCATGGCCACGTGCCATGGCCTAGCCAACAATGCTACTCGGTGAGCCTTGTTTTTTTTTTTCCATTCGATCCAAAACGTATCAGGTTCCACTACAAAAAATAACGGAACAAAACACAAAGTCTCACAATATAGCATCCTGTTGCAGAAACGAAAACCCCCAAAAGGATAGGTTCCAGATGCCCAGCAAAAGCATCAGCCTTGCTGACTGTGAGCCCTGTTATGGGCAGGTATGAAATCCGCATGAGCAAGAAGCGGATAGTAACACCATTTTTTTCAGTAACCCTGTTGATCTGAAACCCTATCTGAGCAAAGACCACAGTAGCTTTTATGGTAACACCATTTCTTACAAACGCCATAGAAGCTTCTATAGTGACATAAATTTTACAGACGCCAAAGACACATTCACGTGCTGTTAGTTCTGAGTTGGTCATTTGGACGATATCTCGATTCTGGACTTGGCCTACCTTGTTTTTTGCTTTGCCGGTTCTTTGCTGGTTTCGGAAGGCTTCAAACACTAAGCAATGAAGCAATGGCAGCCCACAGGTAAGCCCCTGTGCACACATTAGCTGGAAAGATTAGGCACATTTGCCGGCTATGCCAAATTTGGAAGCCTGCAAGTATTGTCAGAATCCACAGAGTTCCGGTGAAAGAGAAAAGTGTGAAAAATGCTGCCAAACTACAACACACACCGGGGAAATAAGAAAATGTTTTCTCGCCGTATAAATCTGGAAAAGCTATATTTTTCAACAAGGGAAAGGAAGTTCGGAAAGCTACGTATACAGAGAGGAGAAATGGGGACGCCTACCATATCTTTGATTTTGGATTCATATATTCTGACTGTAATATAACACCTGAAAATATTTGGTTTACCCACACAAACACGACAACACGTACCGTAACTTCAGGAATTGTAGCATGCACACTCCACTTGTGATTGCTAAAGAAAGAACTCTCAACATACAGTAGTTAACTTTTCACCAAACGGTCTCAACTTTTCAGCAACAGCCCTCACATCTTAATGGAGAAAAGTGATTCTGAAACCATTCAGAAAAGTATTTAGGCAGCTGCAGATTATCAAAAAATTAAAGAAGATGGAACATAACGGTATTTTGGCCATTCGCTAACAAAAAGGTGAAATACACGTGTAGATTATCAAATTTAAAGAGGACGGAACATAACAGGATTTTGACCATGTGTTAACAAAATGGTGAAATACACACCTTCTACGGTTGACTCACTGCTGTCCTCCATGATTTTACCAAGTAACAGTTCACTTGAGTGGCACAAAAGGAAGCTTTTTATATCGAAGAGTTGCAGAGCTGCACAAAAACTGGGAGTATCACTCAAAAATATTAAAGTTTGGATCAAGATGTTTTACTTAGAACGCTACCAAAAGGCATGAATCCTGTTCCTACTGACCATGTTTAGTTCATTCTTGATCAACTTTTCCAATCGCCTCAAGTATAGATGAATATGTAATAAGATCATAGTCAAATCCTAACGCATTCATCTCTTTCATCAATTTAGCTGCCTCCTCAAACATGCCTGCATGACTCAAGGCACCAAGAACAGTATTATATGACACAGCATCTGGTTTTATTGCAGACTGTTTCATATTAGAAAGCATCCCCATTGCATGATCAGGACCTCCTGTTTTTGCCAGTGCATTCAGGATAATATTGTATGAATTGATATCAGGAATACACCCATGGTCTTGCATTCTTCTCATTGTAGTAAGGGCTTCATCAAGCATGCCTGCTCTTGCCAATCCGGACATGAGGGCGTTGTAAGCATAAACATTAGGAGTGCAACCAAGTCTGTTCATCTCATCAAACAGATCTACAGCATCATCAAGCCGTCCAGCCTTCCCTAAGTGTTTTATCATAACCGCATACACTCGAGCACTAGAGGAGCCACAATTTTCTTTTAGCTCCTGAAATAGCTCGTGTGCAAGATCATACCGTTTGGCTTTTCCAAGAGCATCAATCAGGCTGCAATATGCCGCTGGACATGGAGGGAAGCCCTTTTCATCCATCTCCTCCAGCAGCATCATAGCCTTCTCCGTCCTGTTGGTTTTGCAGAATCCATCAATCAAGATTGAGTAGGTGAATGGACTAGGGGAGATTCCACTTTCCTTCATTCTCTCGAACCATGATGAAATCTCAGAAATCCGGGATTTAGATTCAAAAAGTGCTTTTATTATAGTGTTGTAGGTCACCACGCTAGGAATACACCTTAATGTCTCCATCTCCTCAAACAACTTCATAGCATCATCCAAACGACCAGCCTTGCCCAAGAAATTTATCATATTATTCATAAGAACTGTGTCTGGCCTGCAGCCTTCTCGTCGCATTTCATAGAAGAAGTTATATGCTTCATCAAATCTCCCAGCTTTACCAAGTCCCCTAATTAATTCAGTGTAAGTAAACACATCTGGTTGGCAGTACTGATGCCTCATCTCTTCAAACAAACTCAATGCTCCATGAACATTGTCCAATTTAAAGAGCAAAGCCATTAGCATGGTATATATCTTAGCAGTTGGCTGCATTCCATTGTCCTTCATCTCATTCAACAACCAAATTGCTGAATCCTGGCGACCAAGTTTGCAGAAAGCAGAAATGAGTGCACTGTAAGTCACGGTGTCTGGGAAGCATTGGCCCTCGTTGCTCATCTCATTGTAAAGTTCATGCACTTTCTCATACTCCCCCTCATGCATTAACATGATTATCATGCTATTATATGCCTGAGCAGTGGGTTGACACTTTCGTGCCTTGATTTGGTAAAAGATTGCAACTGCCTTACTGATCATCTTGGCATTCCCCAGCATCCGGATGATGTCTGATAGCTCCATCGGCGTGACAACACACACAGGATTACGTACCATTTCTTGGATCATTTTCCACATTTCACCATACTGCTCTACTACCTCTAAACAACGTATCAATGCCATGTAGGTAGATGTGTCGTGTTCATAATTCCTCTTCCTTGCTGCCCATCTGAAAAATTGCATCTTCACACTGACCCCAACATCGGTTTTCATAACCTCTCTTACCAACCAGTGATCAACTTTCATCATTAATACCTCCAACGCCTTCTCAGCATCAGGGCCCCACTTGAATATCTTCAGGATCCTAATGAACCTCTCATCCATGACTCGTATGGAATGCGTGTACCTTGGTCCAGTGGTTGCTACTGCCTCCTCACTCCGACGAACTGGGGGCTGGAACATCTGAACAATCTCATTCTCTGCGCACCAGCAATTCAAGATTTTCAAACAAAACAAAAAAGGCATTAGTATTAAAAATGGCATTTCATACAGCAACACAGATCGTATGCTCAAAAATAATAATGTAAAACAACAATCTAATCCAGCACACATGAGGACTAATCTCAGAAGGAAGTAATTTATTCTACCGGACTAATGTAACTGTTACAAATGGCTGCATCAGAACATGATTTCACTCAAGTTAGCAGTATAAAGAAAGCTGATCTGACCTTGTAATACGTGATGATATCATAGCAACGAACAACAAAGGTCAGGTTCATGAAACCCTTTCTAATTTCCGCTTGAACTTATGACAGAGCCCACGCTTAGCACATTCTTAGCAAACCGAAATAAAGGGGAAGGGTGGGCGGATGGGGGTGGGGGGGTATATGCGCGTCACCTGTTTGTTTTACCCTCCACGCGAGGTGCGGCGACGAGGAGATGCCCCGGACGGCGAGGAGGCGCGCCATCTTCGGCGGCCGGCGGCCGGCGGCTTACGATACGGCGGGCGAGGAAGAGGAGTGGGTGGGGATAGGCGCAGGGGTTACGAACGGGCCCTGCAGGATGTAGGTGGCGTCAGATTTGGGCCGTGGGGCTGGGAGCCCAACCCGGGCATCACTGATGCGAGTTTGTTGACGAGCTCAGGAACCTCTAAAAACAAATGTTGACGAGCTCAGGAGAGTTCACAATTTAACTAGGCATGCTAAAAAAAATACACCTAGAAAAAATTAACCAGGTATGTTCTTTAAATAAGGGAAGTTATTTGTGGTTGGGACTGCCTAATGATTCACTTGTTATACCGCCCGCCTTCGGCGATGACTACCCACGTTCTCCGCTTCCCAAGGACGCATCGAGAGCGTGGGTGGCAATCAAGGCACTTTCATGGTCTGACAAAGCCGACCATCAAGCCAACCTTTAAATGCAACACAGAAAAGTCTCCAGTGTCCGGTCCCGTCATGGGTGGCCGGTTACCATGCGTCAAGGCTCTAGAGCGGCAGGCCCCGTCCTCCGTCTCGTGCCTCGTAGCCACCAAGACGGGTAACAGGCCTGGGGCTACTGCCGGTGTAAGTAAAACCAGGGTATTACTAACCCGGTAAGAGGAGCCTTGATTACGAAGGCATAGATATTTCTCCATCCAAGGGAACATCTTTTGAATACCCTGATGCACCCGTTGGACCATGGACTGGGTCGTCAGGTGATAGGTCAAGACATGAGAATATACCACCCAAGGGAGGCCATTCGCGGGGCCTTCCCGGGAGGCCGCGTTGACACACCTTCTTCCTGTTTAGGAGGAGTGGACCTTGGCTCCGGAAGCCGTGCAATGTCCCATGCCAAGGGACACTGCTTTCTGCCTCAGGAAGATGGAGGTTGAATGACTAGCCCTTGCGCATGGGCTCCGGAAGGATCCATGCGGGAGAAGTCAGCCATAGCGGCTACAATAAGATTCACCTACTACTTACGCCACTATAGTGGCGGTACCTCGCTGCCACCCGATGTATACCAAAGAAGTAGACAGGTAAGTATCCGGGGGGTAACACGCTGCCCCGGGAGGTCATCATCATCACTCGTACAAGCGTGCCATGGGCGACCATGCCATCATGGTACAGGCTATCCCAACCCACTCCAATGTATATTCAACCAATCGAAGCCTCCGATAGGTCCTCCCTCGACACTATAAATAGGGGAGACCAAAGCCTCGCCGGGGGACGATCTTTTCATCTTGTAATAGATACATTGTACCTCTCTAGCATTGCAATACAAAACAACACAGGAGTAGGGTATTACACCAAGAAGGTGGCCCGAACCTGGGTAGTTCTTTGTGTTCATTTGTAGTTCATCCCCCATCATTCATCATGACTTAGGATCACTAAACGTGTTCAGTCTCTGGCCAAACTCTCAATGGGTTGTTGCTCACAACTCATATGTAGGTTCTTAGAAACTGACAGTTGCGGCCGGCGTCGGGCACACAACGTCCATCCAACTCCTCATCCATCTCTTCCTAGAGGAGGTGTGCGACGGGGTTGTGTTCATTCTGGATAGGATGGTTACGCCCCCTGTTGGGGATATAACTATTAGGTATGACCCGCTTAGGAGTAGCCGGGTTATACCTACGACAATTCTTCATACGAAGCCCACAAGGATATCAAAGATGGCGGTTCAAGATAAGGGCCCAAGGCCCAAGGGTGACTTAAGGCCCGTAGGAGTAAACTGCTATATATGTAAGACTTGTATTGTAAGGCATGTATAGATAGTCACCAAGCCGGACACGTTGTCTACGAGCCGGCCGGGACTCCGTGAGCCACTGGGCGTCACCCTATGTACATAAAGGGACGACCTGGCGGCGGTTCAGGAGAAGAGAGAACAGATCGAAATCTAGGTTAAGTGAATTCGCTCCCTGGTAATCGAGACATAAGCAATACCACCTCAAATTGGATTAGGCCTTTACCTTCACCGCAAGGGGCCGAACCAGTATAAACTCATGTGTCCTTTGTCCCATTCAACCCCTTTAAGCTAACCTAGTTGCGATGGCTCTACGAATAAGTCCTTTCACGAGGACATCTGACGTGACTATTCCACGACAGTTGGCGCCCACCATGGGGCCAGCGCATGGTGGTTTCGAGTTCTTGAAGGGCAGCTTCGAAGGGATCAAGGGATACGCTGTGGGCCAGATGACCAAGAGTCGCCGCGGCAAGCTCTACATCGACGATGCAGGCTGTGGCCCCGACGCAGGCTCAATTGAGTACGGGTACCGGGTCCCCTTCGGCAGAATCCACGTCTTCATCGGCAAGATCGGCGAGCCGGGCCCTGAGTCGGACATCTACACCGACATCATCAAGACGGCTCAGGATGCGAGACCCGCCCGAGCTCAGCTCGCTGTGAAACGTGCCTTCGTGGGATGCATCCATGGAGCGGAATTTGATGAAGGATCCATGTCTGTTGGTGAGACGGCCATCTATTCTGATGGTGAGTCGTCCACGGGCGAGACTACTTCATTGTATCAACTGCAAGATGGCAGGATTGGGGATTATTCTGATGGCAACAGTATTCCGGACCCCTATGAGCCGCCAAACAGGGTCGGGATCTTCCTGGCCGGTACGTAGCCGGGTCAGAATTCTTCAACTGCAGCGGCAATGATCTCTCGGTCAACAGCGGCGGCGGCGGCCGGGGTAGGAGGCCCTGTGCGCTCGCCGGCTCAGGTTTTGACGGACTTAATGGATAAACTGACAGATCTGTTGGCAACAGAGGTCACCCCGGCAAATCAAGCTCAGCATAATGCAGAGATTGCAAAGTTACGTGATGAGGTAGCACTAGCCAAGGAAGACCTGGCAGCAGAGAACATCAGGATAGCCATAGAGCGGGCCACCCTGGATGCTCAGGCTCAGCGGATCCAGTCAGAGTCTTTCCGGCTTACGATGGATCAAAATGCTTCAAATGAAATCATGAGGAGGAGACACCAGTCTCGTCTACCTCCGGTTTACGAGGCTAGAAACCTCTTCCGCACGCCTGGAGCGGGGACCAGTAACCCGCCGGAGATAAATCGGGTTGCGGTACCTGGAGTCGGAACGCCAGTTCAGCCACGCATGACGGAACCCCCTCGTCTGAACAACACTCCGCCTCAACATGTCCCAACACCACCGGGTCATTATTCCAATCCCTTGGAAAACATGATTGTTGCGCCAGTATGATTGGCGGCTCGCCCAGTGGACGGCGACTCTCCAGCAGCGGTTGAAACACAAAAAGCTAGAGAGCTTCTTCAGACAACATTGGTGCAGCAGAAGGCATATTCTTACAGATGGGATAGGATTCACTTGACCCCTCGCCTAAGCCGGAGTTATAGCAGGCACATGGACTCACCAGCCATTTTAAGCAATGCCCAGCGTCGTGACCAGCCATGTGGGCATGACCCGGCGCGTGATGGAGCTCATAACATGGTCGGTCAGGACAGAGTGCGTCAAGAGGCTGAGCAGGCGGCTCAGCGGGCGTCTCACCAGTCCCTTCCGGTTTACCCAACGACATCAGTAGATCTACAAGTGTACCCTGTTTGGTGCCGGCTCTACGTAATGAGCGTTTGCCCAAGGATTTCAAAGGACCTCGTAAGGTGCCTAATTACATAGCCGACTTACCCCCTGAGGCGTGGATTGAAAGTTATGAGATGGCCATGGAACTGTTGGAGGTCAGTGACATCGCGTGCGCTAAGTACTTGACCATGATGCTGGATGGAATGACCCATACTTGGTTAAAAGGGCTGCCGACTAATTCCATCGGGTCGTGGGTTGAGCTAAAGGCCCGGTTTTTCAGAACTTTAAAGACACGTGCAAGCAGCTGATAACCCACAAGTGTAGGGGATAATTGTAGCCTCTTTCGGTAAGTAAGAGTGTCGAACCCAATGAGGAGCTTAAGGTATAACAAATATTCTCTCGAGTCCTATCTGCCACTGATACGACTCTACGCATGCTTAGTGTTTGCTTTACCTAAAACAAGTATGAAACTAGAAGTACTTTGTAGGTGTTGTTGGATAGGTTTGCAAGATAATAAAGAACACGTAAATAAAAGCTAGGAGCTGCTTAGATGAAGACACAACTAAGTTAGTTTTAGTAGAGAGCTTTTTGTCACGAGAAAGTTATTTGTCCCTAGGCAATCGGTAACTAAACCGGTAATCACTATTGCAATTTTATTTGAGGGAGAGGCATAAGCTAACATATTTTCTCTTCTTGGATCATATGCACTTATGATTGGAACTCTATCAAGCAACCGCAACTACTAAAGATCATTAAGGTAAAACCCAACCATAGCATTAAAGCATCAAGTCTCCTTTATCCCATACGCCACAACCCCCTTACAAGGGTTTATACTTCTGTCACTCAAGCAACCCACTATAAGCGAATCATGAACATATTGCAACACCCTACAGCGGGAATCCCTCATGCTTGCGCGACACGGAGGGCACAATAGGACAACACCAATAATAAAACATGCAACTCAAACCAATCACGATCATCAATTAACCCATAGGACAAAACGGATCTACTCAAACATCATAGGATGGCAACACATCATTGGATAATAATATGAAGCATAAAGCACCATGTTCAAGTAGAGGGTACAGCGGGTTG